AAGATAAAGGCAATGGGTTAAATAACGAATACAATTATATTGAGCTTTTAAATGTATTTTTAAAAAATGTTAGGGCTAATTGTTATTAGGCTATAATTAAATGCAGGTTTCAATTTAACGTGTAGTACCTAATTCCTGGTTTGTGGTTGAATTGAAGCCAGTGGGTCTTAAAATGTATTTATTCAAATCTTTTTATCAGTGGCCTGCAGGCTGGGCCTGTTTGACTGTGATAGCCCTGAGGCTGAATGGCACCCACGTGCTTATCAGTATCCTCATCAAATTGAAGTTGTAATCAAATGAATTTAAAATTTCGTTTTCAAATTGTCTTTTTAATGCCTTAACTCGATTCAGCGCACCCGCAAACTAAAGGCCTGTTTTCAAGGGCGAGACGAAAGAGAAACTAATTGCGTGATGCAGAGGCTGGAAGTGAATCAGCTGTGATAAATCACACGTTTCTGCGTTGCGCTGTTAAATTAATGCGTACAATATCACGCTTTTGTTACTGTTATTATGTAAGATGTGAGCAGTGTGAGCAGTGTGAGCCGGCCATTGCATGCCTGGGCTGGCTCGGCCTGTCACTGCGATGTGGGCCTCGGCCATTACCACTCAACTGCGCCTCTCTGTCCGCAGGGCATGTTCGTCCTCGGCCTGCCGTACGCCATCCTCCACGGCGGCTACCTCGGCCTCTTCCTCATTATCTTCGCGGCCGTGGTGTGCTGCTACACCGGCAAAATCCTCATCGCGTGTCTGTACGAGGAGAACGAGGACGGCATCAAAGTGCGCGTGAGGGACTCCTACGTGGACATCGCCAATGCCTGCTGCGCGCCCCGCTTCCCGGCGCTGGGAGGGCACGTTGTGAACGTGGCTCAGATTATCGAGCTGGTCATGACGTGTATCCTTTACGTTGTGGTCAGCGGCAACCTGATGTACAACAGTTTCCCGGGGTTTCCCGTCTCCCAGAAAGCTTGGTCCGTGGTGGCCACGGTGGCGCTGCTGCCCTGCGCGTTCCTGAAGAACCTGAAGGCCGTGTCCAAGTTCAGCCTGCTCTGCACCGTGGCGCACATCATCATCAACGTCCTCGTGGTCGCCTACTGCCTCTCCAGGGCGCGCGATTGGGCCTGGGAGAAGGTCAAGTTTTACATCGACGTGAAGAAATTCCCCATTTCAATCGGCATCATCGTGTTCAGCTACACCTCCCAGATCTTCCTCCCCTCCCTGGAGGGGAACATGCAGAAGCCCAGCGAGTTTCACTGCATGATGGAGTGGAGTCACATCGCAGCCTGCGTCCTCAAGGGCCTCTTCGCCCTGGTGGCCTACTTGACTTGGGCAGACGCCACCAAAGAGGTCATCACGGATAACCTGCCTTCAACCATCCGGGCTGTGGTGAACCTCTTCCTCGTCGCCAAGGCGCTGCTATCTTACCCTCTGCCGTTCTTTGCTGCAGTTGAGGTTCTGGAGAAATCCTTTTTCCAGGATGGCGGGAGAGCCATCTTCCCTGACTGCTACGGCCCCACTGGGCAGTTGAAATCTTGGGGTCTGGGTCTTCGAATTATCCTGGTAGTCTTCACCTTGCTCATGGCCGTCTTTGTTCCCCATTTCGCACTCCTTATGGGTTTAACTGGGAGCCTCACCGGCGCTGGTCTGTGCTTCCTCTTGCCAAGCCTCTTCCACCTGAAGCTCCAGTGGAGGAATCTCCTGTGGCACCACGTCTTCTTCGACGTTGCCATTTTTGTTATTGGAGGCATATGCGCCATATCTGGCTTCATTCACTCGATTGAAGGGCTCATAGAGGCGTTCAGGTACAATCTCCACGACTGAGAGAGCTTCAGAGATGACCTTTACTGAATGGTGATGTCCTAAAAATGCCGCACTCGGGCAGGTTGTCATGACGCAGACCTTATCAAAACATCATGTTGACCACTTGAGAAAGAAGCTCATGAGGAGGATTATTTGTGTGAAATGTACATCTTTTTATTTTGCCTTCGTGATAATGTGCAATAATAAACTCTACTATCATAGTGTAAAGTAGTTTACTCATTCCAGAAAACATGTTTTATGAACCGGACAGAGGAACGCAACCTCCGCATGAAATGGGGTGATGAATATGCGGACTTTAACAAGCCTGTCCAGGTATCAGTCTTCATGCAAAGTTGTCAAAGATCCAGTGAAAATGTCCGCTATGGGTCTAACTGTGAGTGTGTACGTGTTTATATCTGGGGAATGAAATATGTGAAAAACAATGGAGTGAATATGTTATTATTGGTTTTTGAGCTGCTAGATATATCATTAATCCCACTTCAGAAAAAAAAAGACCTAAGGCATCCATCAGATCAGATGGTGCTCTTTGGATAATAATAAACCATGAATAACGTATGTGTAGTTGTTTAAGCAGAATTATTTTTCAGTTTGTTTCCGTTTTTGTGTTTTATTTTCCATCTTATGCCTATAGTAGTCCTCGTTGGCTCGTTTGTTTTCTTGGTGTTTCAAGTGTCATTCTGGATGAAGTGAATTCAAAGTGCAAGCAAGTGGGTCCTAATTGTGTTATATGAAAAATGTCTGTCTGATAATATTCTCTTCCTATTGAACTTGTTAATTGTGATTTAATGGAACTAATCATGGTGTGTGAGACAGAGTATTTGTTGAATTAAGAGATAAATAAATCAAATATTTTATTGCTGGTGATTCTAATCTTTCCTTGAAATGTAGCCAGGGATGACTGAGAAGCCTTGCTGAGTTGGCTTTCACTTTTGTTTTTATTGAAAGAGAACGAAGAGAAAAGCTTCCTTTTTTAAAAAGGTTTAAAGGTTAATTTAGCTTCCCCTTTCTTAAAACAACAATGTGAGCATTTAAAAACACGACTGGGTTGCAGCTGCAATGTTCAACTGAAGCCAAGTCAATTTTATGACATATATATATATATATATATATTATAATATTTATATATTCTATTATCACGAATCACACATTTGGCTCAAGGGGGTTAATGTTGTGTTACATGGCACCATACAGCTACATTTACCAATTTAAATAATTGAGGCCCTAAAAACAGCTTGTAGCAGACTGTGTGAAAACCTGGCACTGTAGACATCATGGATGTTACTGTAGTCAGACTGGCACCTTCAAGTAGTGGTGGGCGGATCGATCCAAAATATCGGTATATCGATCCGACGTTGGTATTGATATTGATCGATACCAGCGTAATGGGATCGATACTTTAGTTATTGTCCTGTCTGCGCTGCTGCAGAGGCGGCCTGTCTGTCTGTCTCTGTGTCAGTGCCGCTGTTTTTCAGAATCAGAATCAGAATCAGAATTTGTTTATTGCCAAGTAGGTTTTTATGCCTACGAGGAATGTGACCTGGTGCAGTTGGTGCATAAAAATATATACATATACAAATACAAATATACAAATATACAATTATTCAAATTTAAATCACACAGAAATCACACAGAAAAATAAAGTACTTTCAAAAAATAAATAGATAAAGATAAGAAGAGAAAGAGAAAGCTGAGCAGAAGAACGTGGGTGCATTAATGTAATGCATACTGTATATACAGGGTGGGTATAAGAGTCAATGACAGTGGGTAATCCGGGCCTTGTTAAGGAGGCCAGCTGCCGACGGGAAGAAACTGTTTTTATGGCGAGACGTTTTAGTCCTGATGGACCGCAGCCTCCTGCCAGAGGGAAGTATCTCAAAGAGATTGTGACCGGGGTGGGAGGGGTCAGCCACAATCTTACCTGCACGCTTCCTGGTCCTAGAGGCGTACAGGTCCTGGAGGGATGGCAGATTGCAGCCGATCACCTTCTCAGCTGATCGAATGATACGCTGCAGTCTGCCCTTGTCCTTGGCAGTGGCAGCAGCGTACCAGATGATGATGGAGGATGGACTCGATGATGGCAGTGTAGAAGTGCACCATCATCGTCTTTGGCAGGTTGAACTTCTTCAGCTGCCGCAGGAAGTACATCCTCTGCTGGGCTTTCTTAGAGTGGGAGCTGATGTTCAGCTCCCACTTGAGGTCCTGGGTGATGATGGTACCCAGAAAGCGGAAGGACTCCACAGAGTCAACTGGGGAGTCACACAGGATGATGGGGGCGGGTGGGGCTGGGTTCTTCCTAAAGTCTACAACCATCTCCACTGTTTTCAGAGCGTTTAGCTCCAGGTTGTTCTGGCTGCACCAGGTCACCAGATGGTCAATCTCCCATCTGTAGGCGGACTGAGGGAGGCCCAATGAGGGAGGTGTCATCCGCGAACTGCAGGAGCCTGACGGACTGGTGACTGGAGGTGCAGCTGTTAGTATACAGGGAGAAGAGCAGAGGAGAAAGAACGCTGATGGTCTGGGAGTCAGAGACATTTTTCCCCAGCTTCACGTGCTGTTTCCTGTCAGACAGGAAGTCTGTGATCCACCTGCAGGTGGAGTCAGGCACAGTGAGCTGGGAGAGCTTGTCCTGTAGCAGAGCAGACGCTCTTGTCACAGCGCGGAGCACAGCGCCCCCCAGCGCTCCTCCTGCAGAGGAGCGCTGTAGGTATCGGCGATGCTGACTGGTATCGGATCGATACCAAATCTTGCGGTATCGCCGACCACTACCTTCAAGCCAGTTCACTGTTGCATTCAGGAAAAACAAACAAACAGGATTGGATTACAGTTGATTTTTTGAGCCTATAGATCTCACACCACTGTATTTGAATAAAAATAGAGATTGGTGCTTGTCTAAAATGTAAGGTAATGCAGAGTGTGAAAGAACAGACAAAACATCATTTTCACTTCCTCTTAAATGTTAGTTGACCTTGACAGGCATTTATTTTAAGAAAGAGGATGTTTCTGTTGAATTTCTGATAAGATTAACTTAATTTATTTGTATAACACAATGGTTTTGTTCAGAATGTATGGGAGCAGTGGGGGTATTACTCTCTCTCACACACACACACACACACACACACACACACACACGCACACACACACACACACTAAACCAGTGCAGAAGTCTGTCAGGAGTTATTGTCAGTAAGTTTCACTTCTCAGCGATACAGGAAGCAAAAGCTGCAGTTGATAGTTCAACGACGGAGGAACAGCGAGGACGTGTGCTCAGATGTACATCAGAAGTCAGGAGCTGACTTTCAACTTGGCAAAAACTTCATCCTGCAGTAACTGAGGTATGCTACACAGTATCATTAAACACATTCATTGTGAGTTACATGTTTCATTTTGGAGTTGATGTTTCAGTAAAGCTGTTGCTTACACCACAGGGGACCCAGGGAAATGTTTCCATCTGTGATAGTAGTGCTCCTGCTCATCTCTTTAACCTGTGGGGAAAATCCTGCAGTACAAGTCATTCTGACCAACAAAGGACTTCAGTACGGTAAGGCCATGTGAGGTGGTGTTATTCACTCAATAACTGCATCATAAAGGACCTCAATAAAATTGTACTGTATGATAAGTACAGTACATTTACAACTATTTAATGAAACCATGTGTGTGCTGTTTGTCTCAGGAAAGAATGTAGGTGCAGGATGGATTCAGGACAAGTTGGAACTTATCACTCTCCCTGATATCAGTGGTGGAGTTGACATCGTCATTGGCACCATATACTACACACTAACAGGGTAGGATGACATGTGGCATTATTGAATAAAGAGTTGTCTATTCGGTTCCAAAGTAGTTCTCAAGTTCATATTCTAGGTCAAGATATATGTATATATATATATATAGTGTAAAAACCATTAGCATAGAATGTGCTTGATTTATTTCATTAGACCTACTTACATTACCCAGATCTGTGTGCTCACGCCTGTCTTTGTTCTCCCCATGTGCTAGCATCACCATAACAAAGTGTGACTTCCCAGAGCCGTCTGTTGAGTTCTATGAGGACACCACAGGATTCAAGACATCCATCGCAGGCCTCAGTGTCGCACTAACCGGCGGGTGGAGGACAAACTTTGGCGCAATGTGAGTTCTCCTTAATGTCTGCTCTACGTGTAATCTACTTGATCCTAAAGCCAGTAACCCCACAGCTTTTCAGTCAGGCCTTGCATTAATATAGATATAAAAGTGTTTGGAAAGAGTGATTACATATTAAATCTTGTAATTTAAATACATAAGTTTCACACTTTAGTTTGAAATGTTGAAAGAGAAATGTAGAAACGTGAAGACTTAATGAGGAAGTGATATTAATGTTTTTAGTTTATCTGAGGTCAGTTAGAAAAGGAGGAGCGTCTTCAAAGGTATCATGCCAATGTCTCCTGAGCTGTATTGTTTAAACTCCCTGTACTGTTGTGTGGAACACCATTGGCTATCTTACAGGGATGAGAAATTACCTGTTCACTCATGCTACATCACCCTGGCTTTTTAAATGTCTTTAACGTACAAAATAAAACTGTACATGAACTGTATTAAAACCTGACTCTAGTAGAGTCTGTTAGACTAGTTGGCTGATATTAGAGAATCATCAGTGGTTTATTACCTCCAACAAGAATTGATAAACATGCATCTTAAAAATTATTCAGAGGAGTGGCACAAAATATGTGTGCACATCCACACTGCAGTGATTTTGTTGACTTCCTGTTTTTTATCCAACCTGACTGTAAGGTTAAAGGTCTACAGTATGCACTGCACTGAGTTGTTTTAACATGCAGTTTACATCAAAGTACACAGAATGAAAATAAATAAATAATATAAATAAATAAATAAATAGAGCTCTTTATATTCTTTAATTGGCAATCAAAAATATTTCTGATAGATTATTCGGTCACTATATGGCTTTAGAGGTGTATGTTGCATAAAATAATGTTCACCAACACTAACGTACACTGACTGTTTGTATTTTCAGACATGACAGGGGATCATTCGACATGGCTATATTTAATGTGGATGTGACCTCTGTGGTGGAGCTGGGGAAAGATCCTGACGGGCATCTGTCTATCACCAGTGTCAGCTGTGACGCTCAAGTTGGAGATGTGGACATAGAGTTCCATGGTGGAGCCAGGTACAGTACAACAGAGGTAGAGAGAGAGATAAAACCAGCAATACAGATGTCAAGATATAAACCCCTGCATTTTTATTTGTCAATAGTTGGATCTTCCAGCCTTTTGTGAAGCACTTTAAGGGGCGTATCAGTGGTGAAATAGAGGAGAGAGTGAGTGTTTCTCTATATCTTTGTTACATATGTTAGTGGGAGTCTATACTGTATGATGATCAGATAATGCTCAGGTGAAACCTACTGTGAAGATTTTCAGTGGTGAGCACTGCAGAACATTTGCCTTGTTGTTTCTTCCGTAGATCTGCCCTAATGTGAGGGAATCCATTGTAAACTTGGAGTACCACCTACAGGCCGCAAATGGTATTGCAGCAGGCTACATCTTCATAAACACTCTAATTACAAAGCAAAATGTACACATTAAAATCAGCAACTCAGGCCAAAAGTAGTTTTACTTTAAGCCAAAAATAAAAACAAATACAAATAAAAATTAAATCTATAAATAGATAATTCACTCTACAAATGATTTCTATTCGGTTCAGTTTCCTTTGATGTGAATGAAGACATTACCTTTGACCTCCCTCTCACCGGCTTACCTGTTATTGATGCTTCAAGTCTGAATCTAGGTCTTAAGGTAAGCAAACACAAATAGAAGTACGTCCATGTAATACATTTTTATGTTGTGGAAGTCCCCCGTCTTTGGCCCCATCATTTCAGACAGTTGTTTCACTTCTTTGAAAAAAAATGATATAAACACACACCTATTGGTATCTGTCCGGCATGCTCTGGTAACCACAATTTATGATGAGGGCCAAAACATGTTAAAAGAAACAATATTGACAAAATCATGATCAACAGCTGATCATTTGCTTATCTTTATTTAAAGGGAGAGTTCTACAGTACCAAAACTCATGAAGAGCCTCCCTTTGAGGCCCAGTCGTTCACTATGCCTGAGCAGCCGGGATACATGTTGTCAATGGGCCTGTCTGAATTCACTCTGAACTCTGCCTCCTATGGATACTTCTCAGCTGGACTGCTTCAGACGAGCATCAATGATAGCATGGTAAGTGCGCCTGAATGGAAAAATACATAGAAGAATGGAGAAAGCAGAGAAGGCAAGACAATTTAAGTGTGGTTAAGGGTTTCGAATAGTCTGTCCATTTATGCACTGCTATTGATCTCTTTCTGCCCCTAAATAATGTCTGTGGTTAAGAAATGTTGTTCCATCATCTCAGATACCGCCAGGCTCTCCTATGCACCTAAATACCAGCTCAATGGGGCGTTTCATTCCTCAGGTAAGTTTATTTGTCTCACTGTCACATTTGGTGTTATTACTGGTAACTCACTGTATATTTATTCTTTATTTACTGTCACACAGACTTTATTAGGAACAAGAAAACTGGAACTCTTCACCTAAATTATTGATACCCTTAAAACATGTTTACGTACAATACAAGCCATGCACAGTAAAATCAACTAGTATCATATAATAATTATATAATGTAATAATCATATATAGTATCTATATAAATACACTCAGTCATTGAAAAACTACTACACTAGGTCTTTGAAAATATGTAAATCTGTCATTCAAAACCAAGAGTAGTGTCATTAAAACAATTAGACTGACAAAAGGCACCATAACAATATCATGTTAGGCACAAGGACAAAAACATTTACAACTGTGGGCCCTTTTTTCAGTCAGACAGCAGCACAATTGGACATCATAATCAAGTTATTACTCACACATTATGGCACTACATAGGTTTTCTACTTTAGTGCAGGATCCTCTTCACATTCTACATCACAGTTTTATGCACCATATTCCTAAATAACACCATAACAGTTTCATACTGTTATTTGTTTTAATACAATCAGTGTAATTAATACAACACACATTTCTAGAAAAAATAGATTGATTGCAGGCATAAGTCCAAAACCTTCAGTGTATTGCATCTCCCCCTGCCTTGACTGTCTTTTCTCCTGAATGGCTCTGCACCACAAGGATTCAGCTCTTGGCTTACCAACTTTGCTGAAAAAGAAAACCATTTCCCTAATAAACAAACATTTATAAATGTTTAACAGACATGAGAACTTCACAATGCTTCACAAGATATTTCTGGACAGTGGCAGTAGTTTTATAGGTCAATTTAAGTTTCATTGAAGTGTGAAAAGCTGACATAATTCTTCTTACTACTACTTTTGGGTGCAGGGAAGATCCTTACCATGGTTGTGTTATTAATTAAATTGCAAAACTTTTTTAAAAAAAAGCTACTTGTGCTTACAATAAAAGGTGTTGTTCTCTGGAAACCACCTTCTATCTGCAAAAAACCTGATTAAGATTAGCAACTTTGACACATTATCTCTTGGGCAATTTTAAATAGAAAACCAATTATTTCTAATGATTTTACGAACATCTAACATGTTATAATTAGACATACGTGCTATGGGGTAACATATGACGGTCTCTCTAATTTCATCATCTCCCAGTTAAGGTGTTCCACAGGACAGAATTTGGGAGTTATGTCAACTCTGTCCAAGATGAGGAATCAAAATATGTGCTTCTCATTAGATGCAGATAACTAAAAAAGCTTAAAAGGTTTGTCAAATAATTCATATTTAATCAAATCTAACTTTTTTCACCCTACTCAGATTAGGACATATGTAATAATAATGTATGTACTGATATTATTAAAACTTCTTTTTTAAAATGAATTAATAAACTGATGACTCATGATTCGTCGGACAGGTGTCTCGTTCTCACGTGGAAACTGAATTTTTCTGACAAGCAAATACACACGTAATATCCATAAGCATATAAAAACAAATTTTCTAGTTGCCATAGTTGACAACTTACCTGATGGATTGTTCTCTGAAATATGGAGGTGATTCCCTCTCTGACAAAGTACAGTGGAGTAAGTAACAAATATCTCTGTAGTTTGGCCTGTTCTATTTTCTGTAACACAAAAGTTGTGTGTGCTTTTCCTGCACTCATCAGTTACTCATTTTGTTTTTAATAAACAAGGCCACTGCACTGAAGTAGAAACTTGCCTTTGGCTGGTGTTTCTGGTGTAGACGCTGTCCTTTTGTTGAGCTGGTCAGGTTTTTGTTGTTACCCTTGCATCACCTTTGTCACCCTGCTGCCCAATACAAACTCTGCAACAGCAATAGTACACTTTCCTATCTACAGCGATCAGCAAGAAAAATTACGACCACTGACGGAGTAAATAATACTGATTATCTGGTTATCATGGCACCGGTCAGTGGGAGGGATATATCAGGTAGCAAGTGGACATTTTGTCTCTTAAAAACATTTGTGTATAGCTGCAGACAGAGATTCACCACAGGGCCAAATTTGTTGTCTTTCTCCTCTCACGCTTCTCCAGCTTGTCCTGCCCTTCTTCACTCTGTGAAAAAATCTTCAAATTAAATGTTTACTATCCACTTTCTGTCACTCTGCAGCTTCCCAAGATGTTTCCAGGTCTTCTGATGAATCTGCTGGTTTATGCCAGAGAGGCTCCACTGTTTTCATTCCACCCCGGTGCTGTTAAACTGGACTTCCAGGGTGCTGTAAAGGCCTTCGCCATCCAGCCAAATGGTACCCAGACCCCACTGTTCAAACTCAATGTTGTAAGTACTTTTGTTGTCTGGCTACTATGTGTTTGTGTCTTTTTCTCTTTCATATTTCTTTTTTTTTTTTGTATTGTGGATATTTTAGTACATTCACACCTTGAAATGCATAGTGTGGCGTCATATAAATCTTGTGTGCTCCATTTGACATTTTGATTGAAAGCATATAAATTATATTTTGTAGCAAAAAGAACAAATACATTGTGTGTTCTGGACAATGATTGATGACAATCATTGTTATGGTTCATGTAATCATTCAGTCCACAGTAGATAAACTAGTGCTAAAAGGATTCTTCAGTCCATCACATTAGTTAATGAAAAGGCAATTAATGTACTATTTTGCTAATTAATTCAAGTCTTTTATTAAGAAAATATATAGAAAAAATGTAGTTGTAATTTTAACCTCTGTCTTTCAGGACTCAACGTTCAGCGGTAAAGTGTGGATTGCTGATGACACACTGAAGGGCTCCATGGGAATGAACAAGTGAGCATCAACATGTACTAAAACACGCAGCTGAGCCTGAGTTCACAAACTCAAACTTAATGTAACGATACTGCTTCCTTTCAGTTTTACACTGACGCTGGCAGCAAGTGAAGTGGGAACCTTTAAGGTACATGACATAAAAACCACATCACAGTTTCTGGTAACCTTAAACAAACTGAGCAGAGTCAAACTGTAAAGCATTATGTTTCTATTTGCAGACCGACGCTATGGAAAGCTTTGCAAAGATGTTATCACCTGTAGTCATGGCAGCTGTGAATAGTAAGTCTTAACGTCTTTTTGTGTTCAGTTCACGCTTCCTGACTGTTTTCTACTTCAGTCATTAACTATCTATCTATTAACAATCCATGCTCTACTCCAATCATCACTATTTCTACAAAAATATATTAAATCCTTATTTTGTGTTTCCTGACTGCTTTGCTCAAGGAAATTCAACAGTGCAGGAAATATAGTTTGTTTTTACAACTGTGTTCGGCTGCCAGAAAAATAAAAAACAGACCAGTATCGTGTTATAACATTAGAAGTTAGTTATAATAAGATGTTTTTCTTGTTATAACAATATACTATTTATCTTGTTATCAAGTAAAGTGTTTTATATTATAACATTAAGTTATCACCTAATAACATGAAACATTTCATATTATAAGAAGATAAAGAAGAAAGGTTTCTTGTTATAACTTTGGATGTCTCAATAACGTGAATATATCTTGTTATAAACTTTTCACCTTATTACATGATACTGATTTGTTTTTCTTTTTCTGGTGTGGCAGCAATACATCTCCGTTATATTTTATTTTTTAACTCTTTGGACCTTTTTACTAGAAAAAAATAGCAACTAAATCCTTATTATGTTGAATATTAACCTATTTATCGTCATCACAGTAAACTAGAGCAACATATATGGATGAAAAGCATTTTTCCTTTAGAATACAAGTGCAGATCCAACATACTGGAGGGAAGCTAGATGAAAATAATGCATGTGTGCTGTACATCGTCCTTGTCCTGACATGTACTTCTTGTCTCAGAGAAACTGGGCATCGGTGTTGCTTTACCCAGAATGAAACAAGCACAGCTGATCAACACAGTTCTGAAGATAGAAGAGGTCAGTAAAACACTTTAATGTTGAGTTGATGTCTGGCTTTTAGAGAACATTTTAATTAAACATTAAAACAATTAAACATTTCTTTATTCCTCACAGGGATTTATAGCCATCTCTTCAGATGCTCAGGTGCTGCCAACAGACAGAGGCTTCAACTGACAGACAGACCAACCTGTTTAACTCTGGTACATTAAACATGGATGCTCTTCATCTAAGTTCACACAAACCAGACATATCTGTATCTGACACCACATGATAAAAGCACACGTGTGTTTAAAAGTGTTTGTATTCTGGACATTAAATCATTAAGCCTTGCCATGCAGTACATAATCAATATTTCTGTGCTCACAATTTACAATCAACAATCAAATTAACAGTGATTAAGCCTCCGGTTCAACTTTATAACTGCTTATAAAGTGGAAGTGTGCCTTAGATCTTTTTCACATTTGCTTTGACAATGTAAACATTTGTTTCCCATGCTAATAAAACCTATTTGTATGTTTTTAAGAATGCACTTACTGTCTTATTAATATAAACATGGTAGCTGAGTGAATGGGCTGGGGCATTTTACACACATATTTCCATGAAAACAGAAAAAGGGGATACAGTTGATGTTAAAGTCACTATGTGTGTGGTTTTTATGTAATTATTTTATCTTTTAAAGGTTTTGTTTGTGAAGAAATTAAACAATTTTGGTTTGTTACAAATGAGTGCCACTGTTGACATACCGGTACTACCACCAGAGGGCACCACATTTTTAAAAATGTCTACAAAAGAAATAAGGCACATTATGGTGGGGGTTAGGATGTTACCAACATAATGTGTCTGGATAATAATACATCAGGGGGACCTAATTTACATAATTTGAACTTTGAATATATTTTTTTATCTGGATCTTTCACTTAAGAACCAATTTAGTGGTATTAAGTTAATACAATATACATTTGTTTTATCTTCTATACAGTATGTGAAAGTCTCTAAATGTGAGTATTTAACTGCCATAAGCCAATTACAGCCTGCTTTTTGTAATTGCAAGTCAAAAGTTTGGAAGTAAAAATAGTAAAATAAACATCTAAGGCTCCACTCAGGAAATTCATCTGATCAATATTACAAATTGAACTTTTGTACAGAGGTTGATTAAAAAGGTCCACATGGTTCTTTGGTTTAGGGAGAATTTACCTTCAAAGAGTTCAAGTAGTAGACATTATACAAAAACACTTCACCACCATATTCATGAAACAATGACATCTCTTTATTTTGAAACATTTCAGTGTGTACTCTTTAGATTCTGTTATTATCTGTTATGTTCACATTCCTGGAATGTAAAACCACCAAAATATAAATATAAGCCTATTTACAGCCACTGTTCTAAAATGTTCCCCATAGAAAAAAATAAAAATAAATCACACTTCATTCATGAGAGGAGACACTGGATACTGACTGGCTGATCGGACAGTCGGGCAGCAGACTGAATGATCCTGAGCTGGACATGCATGATGAGCTACAACAACAGTTAGTGAACTACAAACTTTTTAAAAAGAAGCTCAGCTGAACTGGAAGCAGGTTTGAAAAATGACCGACATAACGTGGACCCATTGAGATCTAACAGACCGTGACAGTCGAGCAAGATTGCGACTGTGGAGCATCTCGGAAGACTTGTGATGCTGAGCTCCATTAACAGATACTGTAACACTAAAATAGTATACCACTAACCCTTCTGTTGTAAACGTTCATTTTCAGAACTGTCCTTATTAAAATTTGTAGAGAGAAGAAGACAAGAAAATTAAAGAACAAATAAGAGTTATAGGGTTACAGGGTTGCCTTCATCTCAGCGTGGTCTTCATGAAAGAAGCAAACGGAAACTGAACAGAGGTCAACTATGTAGCACCTGAGAGTCTGTGATGGGATAAGAAAGGAAAATAAGAGCTAGGAGCTTCTAAAATCGATCAATTTAACAGCCTTTGTGAATGTTCACCAATACAAATACACCATAAATAACACCATCAACAGTATGAAGTACGGAGTGGGTTTGATCATGACCATAAATAAAGCTTGAATGTGTTTTGGGGTATTAAAGTGGTGCAGTTATTTCAGTTTTCACATACTTAATGTTGGCACACTCAGTGATCCTGAACGTAACCCCGTAAAGCTCGTACCTCCTGTAACACTGGTGAACATTCACATCGTGGCGAATACCAACATGTTGCTTATTCTCAAACACTTCAAAGACTTCCTGCCACTGTAACTGTATTAAAAGTACACAAGATGAAAATAAGTTAGACATTCAAGTATCCACATTCATATACTTAACTTAACAGCACCTCATCAGTGTGAGAGAGAAAACACTAACACAGACAAGAGAGAGAAAGAGAGAGAAATAAGTTGTAGCCAGAAGACCAGAGTGAGAATAAAAGACCAGTCCACCATGCCGACATCTTAAGCAGACAGACCCTGCTTGTTTAAATGCTTTGAGACTTTCCACAAATAACAAGCCTGAGCTGGTTTTAATCCTGCACCTACAAATATTCTGGATCACACTCACTCACTCAGAAAACTGGTAGGGTTCCCTCTGATGGCACAAGACTTTGAAACTTAAATCGGCTGTATCAGACCTGGACTAGTATAATTTGCGAGTACACCTGCAAGCTTTCCTGTCTGGCCACTAACCCTGCACTCAGATGTGGCTGTCAGATGAGACTCTGCTTGCTCTGAGCTGCACTGGTCTTTACCACAAACAAAACTGTTCAGCCAGCAGCTCACTACAAATCCACCTCAACCCTCAAAATAAAAAATTATCAGCTTGCTCTGTATCTGACCTCATAGGACAGTGGGAATAAAAGCCTGGAGCTTCAATATTTCAGTTGCTTTCATTCGCTGTTACAGCCTCTTTGCATTGGTGGGTTTTGGCTTGGAGAGATTTTGGTCAGTTTTGTTGTACGAAACAAAACCAGAGAGTTAGTGAAAAGTGACTTCCTTCCAGTACTCAACTTGTTTATGAGGATTTGGAAACAAAAAAGACGACATTAGAGGGAGATGAAAAGTAAAAGATGAAGGGGAGAAAGACAGGAAATAGAAAATGAATGAGAGGCACAGTGTGAATTTTTTTTTTTTTTTTTTTTAAAGAGCTTAAACATCACAAGACAAAGTCCTATGAGCTTCAAGTGCAGTCCAATTCAACCCTGTTTGTTTTTTCAAACTGTCATCAGCTCTACACTCCCCGTCACTGTCCACAGTGGCGAGTATCAAACTCGTCCGCACAGACTGCTGAGGAGGGACGAACAGTGAGTTCTTGTGACGTTCACAGACAAACAAACATACGTAGGGCCAAAGGGTGGGGCTGTGGTTATTAGGCTGTGCTGGCAGGTGAGGTGAGAGGAAATGTCCGAGAGGTCCATCGGTTCATGATGGTCGAGAAAGCGGCGAGGAAGGCCGGGATCATTTGTCTGCAACAGCTGCCGCCAACGGAACACGTATTGTTCCACGAGCGGTCGCTGCAAACTCCTCGATTTCTGTGTTTAATCGTCTGATGACCCACTCCATTGCCTCCCGACCCTGAGACAGACAGAGGAAGAGTGTTACAAGACATAATGTGTAGTGTGTGTGTTTATTTGTTTCTTTATTTCTTTATTTATTAGTTAATGGAGATTGTAAGGGCGGCGTCACCTTGCCGGCGTTAGCAGAGATGGTCTTTGCCATGAGACCCTCGAGGTAGCTGCTCAGACTGATACCTTTCACACTAATCAGAGCCTCCTGTGTCAGCACCGTCCTGAACACACAATCATACAAATAAGAGGTCACAAATAGTGCTGAAACAAAGTTAAATCTGTTTTTGTTATCCTAAGTTTTTGCAAATTCAACTTCAACCGGAAAAACATAATGAACAATCAGTCTTAATAATAAAAATAATAATAATAAATAATATAATCAATACTGCAAGTGATGTTTATAAGAGTCATTTACTTTTCAGGATCCTGTGGATGTGGCTTGTACGTCAACTTCTCGTCTACAGATACCAGGTTAGTGAAGGAGATCTGGATGGACAAAATAAAGTAATGAATGTTACATACAATATTTACACTGTCAACAAACGTTTCTGTTCAACAGCCGCTGCAGAGAGAACAGTTGGGCAGAGTCAAAAAGCTCAGACGCTGATCCTCCTCTCTCTCAAATACCTTTCTTGTGGTGGAAAAACAGGTGTAACTGTTAATAATGTTTCTACATGTTATACCTGTCCTGTAACTCATGTCTACTGTTAGACAGGTGCATTACACAGACAGGTGAGCTTGCTTTAAACACAGCCAGACACCCTTGATTCTTAACATTTCTGACAATGACTCTCAGGGTGCCCCAGGGGACTGTTGTTCTGATAATCAGCTCAGAGCGACACTACTCAGCTCAGCTCACTTAGTATCACTGTCAAGTAACAGCAGTTCTTACACAAAGTGTACGTATTAACATATTACATCAGTACTACTTACATTTGTAGATTTCAGCTCAAAGGTCTTCTCTTTGGGGTCCACCACTGAGTGTTCCTGAACATAAGTGCACGTTCTTGTCACCCCAATGATCTGAAGGAAAAAGGACACAACTCAGGCTTAGTTTTAAAAAACAAAAGTCCTTATATTAGGCCGGCAATCACCACACTAGATTTCTGTCCAATTTGATGCCGACTTGTCTCCGACATCGTGCCAACATCAGTAACAATGAAATGCCCGGATCTCTCCTGATCAACATGTTGCATTATAGAACTTTTCATTGTTTATTTAATTGGAGAGCTTGATTTCATTAGCTGTAGTTTGCAATGTGAAGGTCTATTCGGTTGAGAGTAAGAGCCGATGGTCGAGGTTGAGACTGAATACATGCAGCTTATATTACAGATACTTCTCACTGCATCTATGATCCACAATATAAATATTACTTATTAAGCAGCAATTACTGAGTACAAGCTCATAGATTGATCTGATGACATTTAATTAATCCAGGATCAGATCTGATTGGATATAAGTGCTTTTGTGAAATTCTTGCAGCTCAAGTGTTTGTCTCATCATGTAACTTACAGACTTGGCCATGGCAGGAAGCCCCCACTCTGTGCTGAGCAGTCTGGTGCTGTGTAACCGTCCCTCTGTGTCCACGCTTCTGTCCAGAACATCTACACCAAACACACCGGGGTTCATGGGGTTGGGGTACTTCTGCATTGCTGCCTTGGTCACCGTCTCCCACGGATGGCTGTTAAAGGCAACATTAACATTAGAAACACAAATTTACCATTTAATATTCTGGCAAAGAACAGCAGATGAAAATGAGTCCATGTTTGCCAACTCTAAAACATTTACATTATAATAAATGTGGTCATTGTGCTTTCATCTGGTTTTTTTGTAACTAGATTTCTGAACCCACCAATAAAACAAAATGCATAGTTGATTGTCATTCAGTCCATTTTCACCACTGAGGTAGGTATGTTGGACAACAAAGTACTCTCAAGCTTGACATAAAGCTTTGCATAATGTCTCCTACTCTCTGTTTACCTCGTGTAAATACCACTTAAAACAGGACTGTCTAACTCAATATACAAAAACACTTCAATAACAATGAACTCAGAGCATAATGATGGAAATAATCACACTGTCCCTGCGTTAGAATTCATTTCTAACAAAGTTCAACGTAGTTCAAATAATATAATAACATTGTTAATATTAAACATTGGTGCGGAATCAAAATGGAGGAATAACCACAATACTGTCCGGACACAGCAGCAGGAGAAACGCCCCCTCCGCCCCACCGTGGAAATATCTAGAAACTACTGCAAATGGACAGAAATGTTGCGACCATTGTTACACACTTATCGCTGTCTTATTATGAGCAACAACACACAGAAACAGCCGCACTGTTGTATGTCTGATCTGTTATGTAACAATGTAACATCACGGTCCGGTCACTTACATAATGTCAGGTTCAGTCCCGTGATTAAGACAAGACACGTGAAAAACACACTCATACATTCACTTTCTATTAACTCGTGGCTACAATGTTGTAATAAAGCTTGAGACAATATAGTTTATTGTTTATTTACATGTTTAAAAAAATGAACCTCACGTCTGTTAGCCACAGTTAGCTTCACGGCTAGCAACAAAAAGCTAACCTTTGAGTTAACTCAGTTAGCTAAACCAGTTTAATGTGTAATAAGAACAACTCGTAGATATTTGTTAAGAAACCTCAACAGCGAACGTAAGTTACCTTTATTAAACGTTATAACTAACGTAACGAGACAAGAGGGTTAGGTAACTTGCCCGGAGGCTCTCTTTGTGTTAAGTTACCTAACTTATGTGCAACCTTGGCAGCTACGGAGGCCCGCAGCCGCCACCCGGACGGTGCGGGCGACACACACTGACGTATTACACCACCGGAAACCAGTTAACGTGACTTCACTGAGACACTCGTACAACAACATCATCACAGACAGGAACATACTCACTTGAAAATGTGCTCCGACGCCCAGATCTTCATTTTATTAGGCTCTTCTGTCAGGGCTCGAGAGCCGGCGACTAAATGACAGCGTGACCGAGGTGAGGAAGGAGGAGGAGGAGGGAGGAGGGAGGGAGGAGCAAGAGGAGGAGGAGGAGGAGCCCGTTAACGGAGCCTCGGCACTGAGACTCCTCCTGGTGGCGGAAACAGGCGCTGCACCCTGGTCTCCAGAACAACATCAATTATTTATTTATTTAATACATTTCTCATTTTATAAATAAGACTTAGTGGTGAAAGTATTGCTTTACGTCAGATCATTCATTCATTATACTTCATATTTATTTATATTTGACAGATGTTATTACTTGATAGACTTACTGTGTACCTTTATTACAATAACACAATATTACCTGTTGTGATTATTGTCATCATCGTGCAGTGGTATACATCGTATATAATCATATACCTGTCATATTATGTATTATTATTATTATTATTATTATTATTATATTAAGTCCTACCAGTGGAGCTACATTTTCCCTACAGTATAAACATTTAAATAATGTTATATTTCATCTTCAGTACTAGGTACTACAACTGCAGACTCTGTAATGGCTCTTGGTGGTTCCTTTAATGTATTAGTATAAACTTGTACATGCTATTTATATTTCCTTCCTATGTGGCTATAATACACAATGAATCAGCATTATTATTTCTTAACCAAATTCAAAATAAGTGTACCCAAGGAAGTAAATGTAAATGTAATGTAAGAGCAATATCGTAATGCAAAAATGGAACATCATACCAACAAGCCAAGCAGATAAATACTTTAAGAACATCACTATCACCAGTAAAACTATTCAAATCACTCCAAATTAAACACACTAAAAATACACAAAATAAATAATTTGTATGTACACTTCTCATTTTCATTTGACTTCTTTTTAATTAATTAAATGTTAAATGTGTGTGTGTGTGTGTGTGTGTGTGTGTGTGTGTGTGTGTGTGTGAAATAAAGAGAAAGGTGTTGTCTGGGGGCGGGACAAGCGACAGTTGAAGCTGTCAATCATAACCATGGACTGTTCTCATTGGGTAGAGGGGAGACCAGCGTATCCTTAATGACGTCATCACGCACATATCCGAACTGTCCTTGAAGCCACAACAGAGGCACGATGGTCGCGTACTGGAGACAGGCAGGCTTAAGGTACAAATACACCTTTATTTAGACTCACAGTGATCACGTTGTGGTCAGCTTTTATCACGTTATTTTAATAAGGTCTAGTTATCATAACTGAATGCTTTCACAAAGCCGTTGTTATTATTTCGTACATTAAGTCCTTCAGAGAGCTACATTGCTAGCATGCTAGCTTCTGTTAGCTCTTCCATCCATGCGTTTGTCTCGCGGCGATAATGTTTGCTAATAACCTTTCAACATGCGTCTCTTTCTGTTACTGCAACGGATACATGATTTGTTATTGAATGAGCAGAAGTTGTGTTTGTATCTTCCTGACTGATCACTGTCAGTATTGGTTGCCCTTTAGCATGCGGCTAACAACTGTGTCCTCTCTGCAGCTACATCCGCTTCTCCGCTATCTGCGCCAGCGCAGTGCGAGCTGCGTTGAAGCCGCAGTTCAAAACCGAGGCACTGAAGGCCGCAGAAACCAGCGTCAAAGTCCTCAAACCTAAAACAGCATGTAAGTTCATTGTATATCATAAATGACCAGCACTGTTGAAACGGGTCATTTCTGCACTCCCATTCATCCACAGCCCCTCAGTCTGCTATTGTAAGGACAGGCAGCGGTGACATTGACTGGTGTCAGAGAGCAGACTGTCACTAACAGTCACTAACAGTGGAGGAACACTTACATTTAGATATACTACACTGTTAACCATGTTCCATTACAAATAAACGTCTTGCATCCTAAATCGCATACAAGTGGGAATAATTATACAGTATCATATTTTATTATGGACAGTGAACCCTTCAGTGTGATATATTGTTAGACTGTTTGGTTGTTGCTGAAACATTTAAGCAATATTCTAATGTACCTAGTCAAGGTGGTATAATTTGCATTATTTTTATATATATATTTATATATATATATATATATATATATATATATATATTTATATATATATATATATATATATATATATATATATAAATGTATACTGTACATTGAGTAAAATCTATTGCAGTGCTTCACATTTACACTTAGTTTTCTGCAGACCAAACATGCACAACATGTTTTTGTATGCACAAGCTTACCATGTAAAGAAACTAGTAATTAGTAGATTGGAGGTTTTGGTTTGAATGAAATCTTTGGTGCATGGTTACCTGTCCCTGGTCTGCCTGAAAAGGTCATTCATTCAGTGTATTTGGTTAAAATTATTCTAAATAAAGATCTTTTTAATACCGTGTAAACTGATGCACAACACTCGACTTACCGTGTGTATAATATCAATCATTAAGCATCCTCTGAAGATTTTCTGAACCTAATGAATGGCACACTGCTTACAACCATGTTTGCACTCCTGTGTAACATTTGACATCTTTTTTGTTAAATTCATTTTAGGAGCTTTGCTTTCTTAGTGGGCTAAACCTACACCTGCACTCACAGATATAATTCCTTTTGTTCTTTGGAAGGATTTTTTTCAGTAATATTTTGGTCTTTATGCTCTCCTTTTCTCCAGGATGTGAGACCAGCATGTAGATAGTTTTTCCTTGACTTGTGGGTTCCTCTCACTCTCCTGTCCTGCACACGGTGGAAAAGAGGCGAAATGGATGACATCAAGATGAGCAAGAGACCAGGGACCTGAATGAAATTGCTGTTTTTTCCCTGTCATTTGTAATTAAAATTGTAGTAAAGATGGTTATCGGAAATACATTTTGTTTCCTTGTATTCTTGCCTTGATGGTGAATATAGTGTTTACAGCGCAGCAGAATGAGACACTAAAACATTTTCTTATGTAACAACAATTTTTATTTTGGTATAAATGAATCAGTGCAGTAGCCTACATACTCGCATACAGAAACATGGTATTTACAGAGGTATGTTTGTGTGTGTTGATTAATGAGTGTATCAATAGTTTGTTGAAATTTCAGGGAGTAGGATGTGTGTACTGTACATCAGTAAAAACCTGAATCTAAAATCATTAGAAATCCATGCATTGCCCAGTGGGCTGAAAATCAAACTTTAGCAACTGGCAGGCACTTTATTTAACTGCAGTTCAGATTAATTTCTCAACTACTGTAACATTGTTGAGATTCTCTATTTAGTCCTTTTAAAGAAATACATTTGCATTTTTCTAGGAACAACAGTACAAGTGTCAGTAAACATTAATGATCTCTTTGAAACTATTATCAAACCAGGAAGTGTTTATTGTCAGTGTGAATACTTTTAATGGTATCAGGAAAACCATACAAGTTTTCTGCTTGCCCTTTCAATCAAGGTCAAAGGTCGGAGAGGGACTTCAGCAGGGTTCTTGATCACAGCTGGATTATTAATCAGTTCCCCCCGCAGCTCCATTTGCCACTCATCCAACTGCACACGTGTTAAAAAAGAAACTTAAATCTACTGAACCAAATTTTATTTGCTCTGATACATCCATTTGCAGTGATGGAGTTCAGTGTGTACAAGGGTGGCGCTTCACCCCTGACCTCCAGTACGGACAGATGGTATCCAACCGATCCCTAGCTGTCTTTCTTCTCTCTGGTCATCTTGATCATGGTCTCCGGCGATCGGTAGAGGAAGATGAGTTTCTCAAACAGCGTCTCCTCCAGCTCCATTTCTCCCGTCTCCCGGACCACGAAAATGTCTGTGCAGAGCTTTAGGACGCGGTCCACACACGGCAGCTCCTCGAACATGATGGACCTGGAGATCCCGTTGAAGAACTCCCTGACGAACTTCCCGATGACCAGCACCACTGACATGTACAGGCCGACAATGCTGTGGTGAAAAGTACGAGAAGAGAACATTTTTTAAATGCTTAAAAAGGTCAAAGTGAGACATTAACTTTCAGTTATAGGAGGGTTTAAAAACAGACTTCCCGCTTTGTTACCTACCCGTGTCCAGCCAGAAAACCCAGACTGGAGGGGCTGACTTTATCACTGAACACCACTATCTCTATGTTGCCACACTTGTTGTTGGAGGAGGCGACAACTGGGGAGCACTCCTCCACCACCCACCACTGGTCTGCCTCTCCGTCTGACTGCTGAACCTGCTGAAGTTTGATGGACATGGGTCTGAAGAAAGAGAGGTCTGGGCGGTCCGAGTGATCTGAGGGAATACATGCCGGGGGTTGAATTAAACTGCATGTTTTAAACAAGTACAAGGCAGCTGATGGAGCCCAGAAAGCTCAGTGCTGCAAAACAAAATGAGGTCTGATAGAATATCCCCCATAGACCCCCCCCCCCGAAAAAAAAAACCCAAATAGAAAGAGAACACGTCCATTGCATATTAAGGGTACAATGCAGTTACAATTTATAAAAGAAAAATCTTTAATGTACGATAAACTGTAACTAACCTACTTTCATCCTGGTTGCCATTTTGGACTCTGGTCCTTTGGGACCCCTGATGAACTTTGGCAGCAGAGAATTAATGATCCTACAGGACAGAATAACACAGTTTAACCCTTTTTGAGCTCAAGTCAGGCTGGAGAAAATACTTGCTTGTTGAGAAACAGTTGATAACATACAGTATTTCAACTCATTATGTCATGCTTAATAAAGTATTTTAGCCATCACTGGCATGTTTGTTTGCATTAACAGCGCGAGTAAATAAAGAAAGCGCTTTTCAACACCCGAAGAAGACAAACAGTAAACATTAGACCTAGTTTTGAACAACTGGTTGTGTCTGACTCACACAGGTTTGCTGCTGTTGCCTTTGAGCATGTGGACTATCCCTTCCCTCAAGGCCTTGTCCTCATACTTCACAGTGTGTTCTCCCACCGTCTCTGCATTCATTGATATGGACGCATTCCTGAGGAGGGCAGGAGACGAGAGTTCAGTTAGTTCAATGCAGTTTGTGTCTGATATGTAAAAGAACAAAGGGCCCACAAATTAACCAAAATACAAAGCAGAAAAGCAAACATAAAAGTACAATCACACACTGACCTGAGCAGTGTCCAGCGTAAGGTTATGTATATATGAGAGGAGTTGCTGAGCTCCAGTATCATGGCCTCCCGACTGGCCGGACTGATGCTCCACAGCAGACTGGCGTCACTCTTGATCTTAGCAACAACAATGTCGTCCACCATGTAGTTCATTATGAACTGCATAGCAGACTGGGAGAGGCAGAGTGAAGGGGATCAGATTTCTGCAGTTATTTCAACAAACGTCACCACAGTGTTCAGAAATGAATTCAATCCTCATTGTGTTCTTGAGTTCCACAAGTCATTTTTTGAATAATATACAGGACAGTAGATAGATAAACAGTTAGATTACGTATTATCACATTTCTGGTGGTGGCTGGTTTTGTATTTGAAATGAATAAAATGTCTTACTGGATGGGTCGCGTAGACTTTGGTGAGTCGGTTGAATCTAGTTTCTGTGTATGGAACCAGGTTCTGCTCCTGGGCGCTCATGGTGAACAGAGGCTGTGGAAATACAATCAGACACACTCAGGAGTTAAACATATCTGCACACTGAAGATGGACAATAACCAATGCCTAAACTGCACAGTTAAAGGTCAGTTAATAACATTACCGCTTGTGTAAACTTAAAGGGGTTCTAGCAGTGTGGTTCTAGGGATGACGGTCTTTTTCTTGGTCGGTCCGCTCCTTTGGTCCAGACTGAATTATCTTGACAACTATTGGATGGATTGCTATGCAGTTTTGATGAGCCATTCCCCAGCAGATGAATCCTACGGACTTTGATGATCCTCTGATTTTTCCTCCAGCACCACCAACCGGTTTGTGTTTTTGAGTAAAAATGTTTGAACTATTGGATGGATTATCATGAAAAGGAATTAAGTCCACACACTCCTTTAATCCATCAGCCTCAGCTGTACTTTGTATTTAGAGTTAATTGGCAAATGTTAGCATGCTAACATGCTAAACTAAAATGGTGACCAACATTAAACTTGCTAAATATTAGCATTGTTAGCACGTTGATGTAAGCATTGAGCTCAAAGCACCACTGTGCCTCAGTACAGCCTTAGGGAGCTGCTAGCATGGCTGTAGACTCCTAGGGTTGTTTAGGGAGGAGGAGGAGGGCAAAAGAAAAAGTGGTTGTTGTGTTAAATGATGAAGATGTCTAATATTGGTGACTTTTATCCAGCAGACACCACAACTGAATTTCTTACTGTTGCACTTCAAGCCATAAGTGACTTTGCTGTTTCACCTTTTACAAACAAGAATCCTTCTATAAATATTAGCTCTCAGCCAACTTCAGTACTTTAGAATATACAAACACTAAAAGTTGAAAGTTAGCTGTTAGTTACTGTTTACTCATTTCCATGCTGACCTCATATCCTGCGATGCTGAGCTGGATGGAGACGTCAACCGGCCGATTGGTCACTCCGGCTGCTGACTGGACCAGAGACATGAAGAGGAGTGGGAACCAGATGATGCTGATGAGAGCGAAGATGATGAATCCTCCCATCCCATATTTGACCACCTTCTTCTTCTTCTGCCCCGGAGGGTGGGGGTATTTCTGGAAGAATTACAAATAAATGACTGTAGTTCTCACTAATCATTATTCAGTCTATTCTTTATCATCTATTATCTAATATTATTTCTATTTATTTATCTACTATTTTCTTTATCGATTCTTTGACTTTTTCATTAGCCTATAAAATCTAAATTAAAAAAAAGACAAATGTTCTTTACAACTTACAAGTTGTAACCCTGCAGATACAAATATTAAGGCCATTTTAAAGCACAAGGCAGATGTACTCAGTGCACCTTTAATATTTAAATTGAAGTTTGAGTGTGTGGTATTGTAGTGATAGCAGTCTATACATAAGGATGATGGTGATAATGAAATGTAGCGGGCGGTATGTGTACCACATGCTCTCAATTACTTTCTCTGACTCCCGCCAGCACTTGAGGACAAATATGTTTGCATAGATGTCTTCAACACAAATCCAACTGGAGAGAGACAGAGTGGTGTCGGTCCAAACCCAATCCATCACCGCCCTCAACTCTGTGAGGAAGGGAACCATTCGAAACCTGGAGGAGGAGACGAGAGGAGAAATAGGGAATTTGTATAGTTCATATTGTAAAATGCATTATAGGGCTGTTATTGCTAAACAAAAAACTGATTCCAAATACTCTCAACTCTATAAAATCTTTACAGTGTAGAAAATGTGTTGTATTCAATGGAGCAATGGTCAGTCGCTGCATGCTGTTAATGGAGATATTTGTATTTATTAAAGCCAGTAACCGTTCTTACCCTTGGAAGAGGAAGAGGTTCAGGTAGTTGAAGTTCTTTGTGAGGAAGTTACCCAGGATTCGGTTAGGGTAGCCACATTTGATCTGGTAGGCAGACAGGCCGAAGTAGATACACTTTACAAAGTACCAGAGCTGAGCTACAGGGTTATTGTTGAACCTCCTGTGGAGCAAAAAAGATACATTGAGCCTCCCAGGGGACATTCTGGACATAACAGCACTTTATAGACCTCCAACTCCTGTGGACTCTCTGCTTCATGTGCACTTTATGAATGTTTTTTATGAACTTTGGCAGTTGATGCACTTGATGTACTGTTGAACAATTTCAATAAAGTTTATTTAAAAAAGGAGACATCAATGAAAATATCTAAACTCAGATTCATTTTTGATTTTGTGTGCCTTTTATTCCCTCATAATTTTTGATTAAAAAATTTAAATGCTACAAATAGACACTTGGGATTAGTAGGTATGGGTTAGTTTTTGCAAATTAATTTTT